TCCGGACCTCAGGTGGTCGCAGCCTCATATGCTCACCCTGAGCAGCATCACCTGCACGGTTTGAGGCACCGCTCCTCCAATCTACCTGTCTCCATATACAGGTCGTCTGCGTCACTGAAGGGGGGGCATGGTGAGTGGAAAAACCTTCAGGTGACATTTCACCTTCTACCCTGTCAGTTTATGAACCAAGTGCCTGTTTTAGTATTTAGTATTTCACTCTTCTTTTACCTGTGAAACTGAGAAAGAGCTCTTCTTACCTGATTTTTTATCATCATGTTTGATTCAACTTCAGTTTTTGTCTAATTGTGCCAAATCCTCCAGTATTTTCAAGAACAGTACATTACTGTAGCTGTAGCTATTGACTGTGATACGGCCTAAAACCCCCACCATTACTTTGTGCATGCCACTCAATACACCAACCTGATAGGCTACTATGATTTTCCTGGCCTCTAAAAATCAACATGTTTAATCACTCAGTTAGCATCAGTCTTCAAACCATAACACCAGCAAGGACTTTGCAGTGAATGAAATAGTGTCGCAAGTTCCCAAAACTAGCAGTTCATCTTAATAACTCTGTTTTTCTGTGGCTGTCAGGAGATATAAACATGCATCGTTCTGAAGAAATGGTAAATTAACAAGACCGTGCTGCAGTTCAGCTGGGTATTCCATGGTATAGCCACTACTATCTAACGCTGTTTTCATCCTCAAGACATTCAGCACTGGTCACATGACTGAAAACTATGAAGATAATCAAATTGATCTATTTTTTTTTTAAAATCCCCCACAGTTTTCTACGTATAAATAAATGAGCTATAGACCAAAAGTGTTTTTTGAACCAGACTTTAAAAATGTTTAAAAATTGTGAAAAAAAGTTGACATTTTAACATGAGACCTAATGGGGATTCATTTGCTTTTGTAACCAGCCTCAAGTGGTCACACAAGGAACTGCAGTTTTTTTTGCATTGGCTTTATTTTCCACGCTGGAGGATGCCGCTGGGTCAAAACCAGTCAATTATAAGATGCAATCAATAAGCCAACTTTGCAAATTGAAAGTGCGTGTTGCAAAGTCATGCCTCTCTTAATCTAAGCATCCAGAATGACGCTAATAAAAACCCTGATTCAGAAAAGTTAACCAGTAAACAGCACAGTGTTTAAAAACATCTCGGCTTGCATCCCCTGAAACCCAACTAAAGCGAGATGCTGATATTTAAAGACAATTTGTTTTGTTTTTGTTTTTAAATGACAGCCCGAGTTTTAATAGTTTTAATGGTTTGAACAAAGCTGCTTAAAAGCCAAATCCTAGAATCGACTGACAAAATGTTAAACATGATCCTCCTGATTTACTGATGACTCAGATACTATTATCAGGTAGCCCTTATTGTTCATGTCATTATTTGTCAGTTCACCCTCTACAGTGGGTTTTGTTTATTGCTAGTTTGCCTTGTTGTGTTTGTTTCCGTTTCTCCGTTTTCTGATTTTTTTTGTTTTCATATAAGAGCTGAGTCTCTCTCTTCCTTGTAAAAACAACTTTAAGTGATTTCAAGGGCTTTTTAATCAAGTTCCAGAGGAGAGGAAATGTTGAAGTCTCTGCAGCTACTTTCACAGTGTTGAGTGTGTGTCTGTTGATGGGCCGCTGTCGGCTGCTATTTGTGGATAAATTAGTGTTGCGGTGATTGCAGCGGGACACCTTTTGATCCTTGTTATGTGGTGATTATTGCAATCATCATTCTTCTCTAGAAAACTACTTGGAGTGGCCAGGTGTGTGTGTGTGTGTGTGTGCGTGTGTGTGTGCGTGCGTGTGTGCGTGCGTGCGTGTGCGTGCGCGTGTGCGTGTGCACGTGGCGCAGAAGTGACATCACAATACCACACAGAGTTGGGGGAAGATGAAAAACAATCTGTGCAGGAGGACAATATAAACCACACAACAAAGTTTTGTGTCCATCTGGACTCTCATTAATTCAAAGCAGCTCTGAACATACATTTTTTTTTCATATCTCACTGACTACAGCACCAGAACTTTTCTCAATACATTTCATATTGACAAACTCAGGTTTCTGATTCTGGGCTTTTTGAAGGGAGGATGTGAAGGAGAACTGCATGACTCCAGATGCTGGATTTGATAGCAGCGCTCATTCGCCATGTCGATGTTTCTTCAACCAAAAATGTAGCAACACATCCTGATTAGGGATTCAAACATCACTGTTTCCATGGAGGCTGAGTAAATGGATCTGATTTTGACATGTGTACATGCATTAAGTATTAAATAGAGAGTAAGAGTAATTGTCCCGTCTGTCTTATTTCCTGGAAAGTTCACAGAAATGAAAAATGAGCTCTAACTTGAAATCATCAACCATGTGCACAGTGGCAGCAGCCAGTGGTATGCGCTGGTATAGATCAGGACAATAACTAATCAGACCTATTTAGTTTTTTGTACCAGGCTGTAAACATGTTAATTTATGCTGTAAAAACAGATTTTTGCCTGTGGTGTGTATGTGACTTCTGGTATTTCTGGAGCCAGCCTCAAGTGGACACTCGAGGAAATGCAGGATTTTGCACTTCTGCATTGGCTTAATTTTTCACGACTGGAGGTTGCTGCTTGGTGTAGATACATTAACTACGGGTTCCTTTGAATGGTAACATGTCGAACAAAGTTTTTCTACAGAGTGAGATCCAGTTGAAGCAGAACAGATGCCCCGCTGACTGTTTATTCCTCTGTTACTGTTTTTGGTCTAGTTGTAGGTAAGCAAGGCAAAATGGTTTCACATTGACTCAGTCATATTAATTATCTGTTTAACTGGCTAGTAATTCTGGTGGCAAGTAGTCAAAGTTTGCAATGACAGTAGATAACCTCCTTTAGGGGGCCCATCTGACAGCACTCACTCATATAATAGTAAATGCCTGAATGCTGCTCGTCTAGCCCTAAATATGGGGGAGAGACACTTTAATAACGTAACTTTAGATTTAAAAAATGGTTATAGTCAGATTATTTATAACGTAATGAGGATGAAGGCTGTTTGGAGGGGCCCCCTGTGAGTCTATGCCTTGGGCCCCAACAGACTCCAGAATCGCCCCTGAGGGCGATGATGCTTCGTTGATTAGTTTTGCACATTCCCTTTTACAGTCTCACTGCTCTGGTTTCTGCTGCGGATCAAAATGACACTTTATAAATGCATTTATCTGTCAAAATCTGAGCACACACAAACTAATGACAACAGCTGTGAGGGGAGTTCAGGAGAAGTAATGAAGGAAGTGGAGCCTCAGACAGAGTTAAACCTGCCTTCTGTTCTCTTTAATCAAAGTCAGACGCACATTTCTTTCGCAGCCAGCTTTCAGTTTGACTTGAGACGATGAAGATCCACTGCAGCAGTCTGAGTCTGGGTCGTAATCATAAAGACACAAACAGCTTAAATCTTCAGACGGTTAGCGAAGACAAAACTGATGAAAGAAAAAGGCAGATTGTGTTGACATCTTGATGGCTGGATGTGAAGTTTGAAGTTATCTGATTTGATTGAAACTTTGATGAACTGGATGAAACTCTTCGTGGTTGTTGCTCTGTTTTTTTGTCTCTATATGCATCTCTCTTTCTGACTTTTCATTTATTAAAATTTCACAGCCAACATGGTCACAGCAGGCGGTTGTTCAGCATGGTCTGGTTTGCTCGAGGTTTCTGCCTCTTAAAATGAAGTTTGTCTTTCTCATGGTGGATTAATGTTGGGAAATTAATCATTTAAATGTTAAATGAATTTACTGCTCGATGTAATGTAATTCTAAACCAAGATCCTGACACTAACATTGCCCTCCATAACAGCAAAATTTTAAATGTTATATAAATCTCAACACACAAGCTCTGATCTGCAGTCTATTGTGTATTTTAAGTGTATTAAGTAAATGTGCAGAACATGGTGTAAATCCTGCATATCAGGACATACGCTGCCTCACACCAGCGAACCAGCTGAAAGTCACCTACATCCCCACAGCTGTCGTCTCTCTCACATCCACACAGACGTAGCGTTCGCTCCGGCTGCAAGCTACCGCACCTTGAAGCACAAAAGAGACAAGAATGAAAAGTTGTCCCCGTTAGAAAAAGACATCTGCACTGACTGACTGAGTTTCAAAAAGAATCTATCATGGTGTCAGTTTGAAGTAACGTCAGCCACCAATGATAATTAAAGGACTTTCACTGTCAAGCAGAAATGTCTCAGCAAAGAGCAGCAGAGGGGGCAACTTGTAAAAATAATTCACTGAGCTTCACATTCTCACTTTATCTGAATATCTCTGATTTATTTAGAAATTCAGGTTGTTGTAGTAGATTTCTTTTTGTCTAAAGCGATACTCCCGTTCCATAACAGGCAGTGAAAATATGATTATGGTCCTTTTCTTCTTGAAAGAGGATCAATAGGTGAATAATTCTACTAAAACAAACCTGAAGTCGTAATCTGCAACACCTCTGGGGACAGGCCAGATGTCGGCCTGCTTCAAGTCCTCCACCATCATCCCTGTGTACAAAAACCAAAGACCACAGGACTGCAGATCCATCATTATGACCCCTGTAGACTTGAGGTGTTTCAGACTTGATCAATGTCTCCCAGGCATGAACCCATCTATGTTTTATAAACCTAGGCGTCATGATTGATGGCCAACAAACATTTAAAGGTCACACATTCTCCTCCTCTTCAACCAGTTTAAAAATGTCTCAGAGCTCTGTGAAGTTTCTTGTTCTAAATCCACTTTGATCCTGTATTTGATCATGTCTATAAACCCCTCTATTTCAGCCCTGCTCAGAACAGGCTGTTTCTGTGTTGTACCTTTAAATGTAAATGAGCTGTGTCTGACCACACCCCCTCTCTGGAAGGGGATATGGCTTGGTCCTTGGTTGCATTTTGTTCTATTGTTTACAGTAAAAAGGCAGACACCCACCTACCATTTTAAACTAGTATCTCTTGGGTCTCACCATAATCTAGGACTTGGAATATGATTTTTTTATTTTTATGTCTGTTCAGCTGGGACGACGTACATCTTTGGTAAAGGAGGAGGCCTCATCACATTCAAGTGGCCGGCCAATGAGAGACCGAGCACCAGGACGGACAGGCTGACCGTCGGCTTCAGCACCTCCCTGAAAGAAGGCATCCTGGTCAGGATCGACAGCGCGCCTGGTCTGGGGGATTATCTCATGCTGCACATAGTGAGTCTAAAAATGAATGCAGGTATCATGAATAAAGAATGTTCTTTACACATTCCTCTGTTTTTACGGTGATGATTGTGTGTCTCATTTCAGCAACAAGGCAAAATAGGAGTGACGTTCAACATCGGCACAATGGACATCACTGTGCAGGAGGGCAGCACCCCAGTGAATGATGGGAAGTATCACGTGGTCCGGTTCACCAGGAACGGTGGCAACGCTACGCTACAGGTGGACAACTGGTCCATCAATGAACACTTCCCGACAGGTACAACGCTAATTCATCTTTCTAATCTGTAACACATCATCTAAACATGTTAAATGATCTGTCCCAGTCTGTCTCCGTTCTCTTCTCTTGTGTTACTGGGAACACTCTGAGTGATAAGAGTTTACAGTGAATCTGTCAGTGTAGGAGCAGAAGAAGAAGAAGATGGGTACGATGGAGGGGACTCCTCAGGATTATACCTCAGTGCATTTCATTTTTGTTCTTCTTTTTGTTGTGGATTTCTAAGTGACTTAAAATACACACTGAACCTTTGCCACTCACATTAACATCTGTTTGAAGGGTTTATAATTATTTTTTAAAACTTTTTTTCTGTTTATTTGTACAGGGACAAGAATGAAGCACACCAACACACTACAACACTATTAGTCTAAGCTTATATGCAATGCCCGTCTCTAAGTAAAACAAGAAATACACAACAGATGTCCAGTACAAAACAAACTCAACAATAACACAGGCAGAACAATACAGGACACAAGATAACATGCAGTAAAACACTTTAAAGCAGGAAGAACATGATCATACATGACTGATGCCTGTGATATGTTCTGTAACCTGTGAGCTCTGTCGCCCTCTGCTGGTCCCTCACAGGAACTACAGTATCCAGACTGTGGAGCAGCTCAATTAATTTGGTTGTCAAAGCCACTGCTTGACCACTAAGATCACATACTTGAGAAAAAAGCAAATGACATCATTTCAATAATTAAGAATGTATTCAAATATATACATGTGTTCATACAAGTCCATAATTTATCATCTTACAGATGCTTAATACAACACGTGAATCTAACGATATATAAAGCTGATGACTAAGATCATAGCAGTACATGTCCTTCTTTCTAAACATTCATTCATTTGTCTTACATGTCAAGGTTCATAGGCACCGTGACCTCATAAAACACAAGTCAGACTAGCACTACTACAACTTCTATGTTTTACACTTTTCTTTTTTTCATATTTTCATTACTTTTACTTTACCTTTTTTATTTAGGGAGGGGACAGAGGGGAGATTCAGAAGTATGAGGGACAGAGAGAGTAGGGACTAAAGGGTGGGAAAGGGTCCAAAGGTCGGATTTGAACCCAGGCTGCCTGCTTTGAGGTCTACAGCCTCTGTACATAGGGTGTGCTCGCACTAACCACTATGCTACCAGCACCCCCTTTGTACTGTGTTGCTCAATAGTATATTAAAAAAAAAAGCTCACCCTCAGTAACTTATATTACAGAAGCCTGGCTTCTAATCAGCCTCCTAATATGTGTCACCTGTGAGTGAATGTGTGAAGCCTCTAAGAAGGGCTTTGCACGAAACGTTACCAGCAATAAAAAAATATATAGTGAAATTTGAAATGTATAGGCCTGCATTTGGTGTGCTATCCTGAAATACCTTTGGTATACTATGTTGCTGCAACTCCAGAATTTAACCCTTATCTTATCATCTCATCCAAATGTCCTTATGTTGCTTTTGTCACATTTCATCCAACATTTTCAAGTTTCACTTCCCTAAGTTAAACATTATAACTAACCTGCAAACCAATCACCTTAAATCATGCTACCAAGATGACTTGTTTCCTTTTTGACATTGTGTGCAGCTGCATTAGAACCCTCAGAGTGATTCTGTCAGCTGGAAACATAAGAGACTCTTTTCAGTCTGACCAGCAGAATTTCATTGAAGAGTCTTCCTCAGTTGTTTTGGCACATTTTTAGAAACGTTTCCAGAGTCTCAGCGCAGACGAATCGTCCCAAAGTTAAACAATATGTTATTGCAAAAGGCTGCAACCATCACCTTTGGGTGAATGATTACAAAGTAATCTGTTTTGACGTCATGTTGAGCAGCAACAATCAGCGTCTCCTCAGACAGAGTGAAGTTGATAGTTTAAACCTTAAAACTTTCAGTAACATGCAGAAGTTACCTTTAAAAGTGCATTTATTGTATCTGCTCAGCAGATTATTTTTGACTTTCTGTCAAAGCAGATTTTAAGTTTTATTCCTAAGCTTCTGGTCCAGCACTGTGTATTCACAAGAGGATTTTTCCCTTTAACATTAAATAGTCAAAACACATTATAGAGGAGTTTGGAGAACTCTAGATGACAATGCACTGGCTGACCTGTGTCCCATGACAGAATCTACAGCTATGACTTCACACGGGGATAATAAAGGTCATAAGATGTAATCACAGATTTATTCAGAACATTGGTCCTTAGACTGAACCGTGTCTGTACTCGCCCTGCTGCTTTACCTCTCTAATGCCTGAGAAAAAAATGTGTTCACTCAGACGTCTGTGTGTGTCTGAACACGAGAGAGGAGAAAAAGGAAAAAGTTGCTGCAAATTGTCTGTGAAGGGTCAAACCTCGAGCATTAAAGACGCAGCACTTTGAATCAGCTTGTCAGGGAAAACCCGTAGATATAATATTTCCTTTTTAGGGAAAAGGCATGAGGACAATGGAAATGCATGAGCAGTGAAGGGGGTGTGGCCTCAGGCCTCTACTTTGATGGCCAGCTAGTAAAAATGATATCTAAGTCAACAGTAGAATTTCAGTGAGGTTTTGAAGCTGACATGGTGTTAAAATATGACTTCAGTCTTTACTCCTTACACAAAATGAATGTGAAACATACAGATAATATGTAGAGGTAAAACAAACAATACACTTTCACCCTTAATATACACTTTTATTGTTGTTTATTGGATTAAAAACAATTTAATAAACCTTACTTAATCATAAAGCTCCTGTGAGGAACTTCTGTCCCTGTTTTAGCTCCCCCTGTGGACAGAGTAGTTAATTTTAGCCTTTTTAAAAGTCACATACATTTCTTTTCAAAAAAGTTTCAATAAGTCTCCGAGCTCTCCAAAACATGTCTGTGAAGTTTCTTGTTCTAAATCCACTCTGATCCTGTATTTGATCATGTCTATAAACCCCTCTATTTCAGCCCTGCTCAGAACAGGCTGTTTCTGTGTCTGTACCTTTAAATATGTAAATGAGCTCAGTCTGACCACGCCCCCTCTCTGGAAGGGCTTGGGTGTCTCGTGCTTTCTCACTCCATGTCCTATTGTTTACGGTGAGAAGGCAGACTCAGAGGGCAGAACAAATACCTAGCTGTGGGGGTGTCACCCACCTGGGGGAGGGGCTACTGCCCTTTGTGATGTCATGAAGGGGAAATCTCCAAACGGCCTGTTAGTGCACACATTTTCTGAAAAGTGGAGCAGGCTAAAGACGGAGAGGATGGACTTCTCATCATCGGGGGGGAACTTGTAGACAGACTAGGTACACATATGAGTGTTAGAAAAACATGGGAAAGTGTATTTTACATAATATGTGACCTTTAAATTTTGTACTGTGCATGTGTGTTTATTTCTGTTAAACTCACCTGCTTTTATCTAAATTCATATTAACCCTTCACTATGAATCCAAATTAAAACAGCACGCTGTTTATCACTTGGTCTGACATCAACCCCCGGCAGGGATATTTAAAATAATCATATAGAAATAATGCATTTTGTTGCTCATAGTTGTCTTTACTTTTTACCTTCATATAAAGTCATCAGTATAGATTCAAGGTCATAAAAACTGAAATCTTCAGTTAAAGTATTTTAAACTTTGTTGTAAATGTAAGAGAGGTAATGAAAGCTGGCAGGGTGACCTGGTGCTGACGATCAATAAATGTTTTTATAAATGTCTTCTTAAACTTTAAAGGGAACAGCGACATTGAACGCTATCAAATGGCCAATAAGAAAATTCCTTTCAAATACGCCAGACCAGTAGAGGAGTGGCTACAAGAGAAAGGTAATTTTAAACCAACATTTCTTTATGCTTCTTTGTGTTCTCTCTGTGTACTCAGATGATGTTAAAAACGTTGCCTGCACTTCTTTAACTCAGAATATAAAACATAATAATTTTTTGTGATGATCACTGGAACATATATGTCATTAATGCAAGTCTCAAAACATTAATACAAGCTTTTCTCAAAGTGCAAATACAGCATGAACATGAATGCAACACCATGCATGCAACTTCATACGGAGCTTCCTTCTGGCTAAAAATGTTGAATAAACTGCAGAAATAAACTACTGTGAATAAATGAACCATAAAGAGTAAATAAATCAATATAATGAAAATAATGCTTTGCATATTGACATAGGGATCCTATTTTAATCATGCAAGTGCAACGACCAGAGCAAAGTGTGAGGCACACAGACTGTGTGTGTGAATGAAGCCATGAAGCATGGAAGTGCAAAAAACCTGCAGTTCCACATGTGCCCACTTGAGGCCAGCGGCTGAAGCCAAGGAATCCCCATTAACTCACATTAAAATACCCAAAGCAGAAGTAAACATGTATACAGCCTGGTACAAAAAATAATTTGGCATCAATAGCTCATTGATTTTATTGGTTAAACTGTAGGAGGAAGGGCTTTTTCTTACTTATCCGTTTGGATTATCGGAAGAGTTATTCTGAAAGTTGAATAATTTTGGGGCGTGGCTGAGTTGACTGACAGGTTGGCTTGTTATAACTGTTTGCCAGGAGGCTTAAAGTCCCCTCAGCTTCTTTTTGCCTGTGACTTTTGCTGGTCGTTGCAGCACCAACAAATGACATCTTTTGTCCTGCTTAGTGGCTCTTGAATTGTATAATGTCATTTTTCATTCATGTGGAAAATGTTCTAAAACTGGCTGTCTCCTCCAGGACGACAGCTTACAATTTTCAACACCCAGGCAACAGTCGTAATTGGAGGTAGTGATCGCGGCCGGCCCTTTCAGGGTCAGCTGTCGGGCCTTTACTACAACGGCCTCAAGGTGTTGAACATGGCTGCTGAAGGAAACCCTAACATCAAGATTAACGGCAGTGTGAGGTTGGTAGGTGACGTGCCCACTGGAGGAGGCTCAGCCAGGTCTACAGCCATGTCTCCAGAGATGTCCACTACCTTTATAGAGACGACTACCATGATGTCCACCACAACCACACGGAAACACAGGTCATCCTCAACTGTACAGGTAAGGATACATTCACCATCACCACCATTTCTTTAGAAACTAAGATAAATTAAGCCAATATAACATTGTACAAAAGTGAAGCCAAAATACACTTGTAAGACGTGCTGACAAATTTCTATTTTGGAGCCATAGTCTGCATTAGGGATTAGTTGGAAGAATCCTTGGTATTGACATCTCACCCCTTCCTCAAACCAAAACACACATTTGACTTCCCGATAACTTAGGTCAAAGATCCTTGAGGTGGGTACAATCCACAGCAGAACTGATTCTTGTGTCAGTTTGAAGCAAACACTCACATTTATGGAAAAATTTGTGATAGTGTTTGTCACATTATCAGATGTTACTCTGATAATCCGGTACACAGAGCGCCACAGGAGCTGAATTTGTCAACAGAGCTGTCAAACAGAGAGAGAAACAATTAAACAATTATTTGCCACCTTTTTAAAAAAAAATGTTATAGTTTGACCCCAGCTCCAAATGTTTTGGCTTCACTTTGAGGGAGGTGTTGTGTTGTCCATCTTTTTATACATTTTATGGTCACCATGTGCTGTTAAAACTTCATCAATGCCCCTTGGGGGTAGGCGGCACTTGTTTTAGAAATCTCTGGATTTCTACTAAAGAGAAGGAACAGCGGTGTCTAGTTTCTTGTTTTGATGGTGGTGCTGAGAACTTGTGTTTGACACATTGAACCAAATTCTCCTTCTAGTGTTCAGCTGGGTTGAGATTGGTTAATTGTCACAAACCTGTCAGCTGCATGTAGAACTGATGGTTTGAGTAAAATGTTCCCAGCAAACAATGTTTTCATCTAAAAGAATTCTATGGCTCCCCGATGGCCATAGGGTGAGAGAGAGCCAGTTGGGACCTGAGGTAAAAGATTTGCTGGTGGCCCCTCCGACCAGCGTTCATCTCGTTTATACTTAATCATAACATTCCTCTTAATTTTCCTTCTTTTTCACAGCAATAATGAAAGAGATGAGATGCTTGGTAGTGAAATCGACTTATACGTGATACAGACAATGGGATTTTAGAGTATCTGCTTTTAGTTTCTTGTAGCATTGACCTGTTCTGTCTCTTTTTTCCTTATCTTTGTACATCGTATTTGTTTTTGTTTTGGTTTCTCTGCTGCGGCTGGGACCTCTGATGACCAACAACCTGCCCACAAAGCATTCGGCGGATGAAATCGTGTCGTCTGCAGAGTGTTCGAGTGACGATGAAGACCTGGAGGAGTGTGAAACGAGCCATGCAGGTGGGCTAGGTTAGTTTAGCATTTGCTTGCTTTCTCTCACTCATCGCTCATCTGCACCCGAGGATCCAAGGCATCTTCAGAGCATCACAGCCCCATGGTTAGAACAAGTGTAACTTCATTCAGACAGTTATCATGGCAGGCTGCACTACACATAACCCAGTCCTTGAAAACATTGACTGTTAAACCTGAAAATGCAAATTGAAGTAGTGGAAATGGTACATCAGATACACGGACAGCTAATTCAGTATGTTGCTAACACAGAGCACCATCAGTAACATGAGCTACACTTGCACATGGGGTCTTTTTAAAGTGGTTAACATGGTCACCAGTACACATACAAACTTTGCCTGCTGAGGGGAATAATAAGTGCAAAATTTGTATGATGGTGAACCAGGTTTTCTGCACTGATGCTGCAAAATGTATGACATCGTGTTTGGGTTCACTGCTCCTGCCATTCACTGCTTTACTGATTTTCATTTTGAAACAAAACATTTTGACTTTGTTTTTTTGATTATAATTTTGTTTCTGCTAAAACTCAGCGAGTTGGCTAGACCACTTCGATGTGTTTCTTTATGCTTTTTCATTTGTGATTTTTCATCTTTAGAGGCTTGCATTGGAAACGTGATAGAGAACAGATATCATTGAATTTCTGTGTACAGGTTTTTCATTTTTTGGGTCATACCTTTTGCTTTTAGGTGTATTTATTATTCTGTCTTTTTTGTATCTAAATATGAAAAAAATCTAAAAAAAATGTTTAAGAATTGTGATAACCTAAAGAATCGGTTTGAAAAAAAGTGGGAATTTCCATTTTTAACCAACACAAAACACATTTTTGAAACAGCAGCCAAGTTGTCACATCCTGAACAAACATATATGGATTTTAATTAAAACATGTTTAAGTATTTAAGAATACACTTTCACGAAATGCAGGATAATCTGAAAAAAAGCTCATTTCATTTAAGTAACGATATCCTTCCATTTAAGTTGTCCAGTTTCTGTAAAAACAAAACCACAGAGACGTCACAGTCTCAACTTTAAACAGAATATAGGACATTTTTTTTTACAATGTATCCAGAAAAGGATCAAAATTGACAAAATTTCTCGAAGTACTTTATCTGAAAACAATAATAATTCCTCCTCTTAAAGGCAGGGTTGGTAATTTTCTCCAGATCCACTTTTTTGCTTGAAATAGTCTTTAGGTCCTGACAGAAATTAATAATTCATTTGCTCTGAAAAAAGAGTTTATACTGTGAGTTTACTTCCTGCTGAATGAGACACGAGACGACGTAGTTTCTACACAATGCAAGCGATGAGCTGAGGTCCGCTTCTGGAACAAACAGTGCATTTAAGTGAGGGGGCGTGGCTTTTGAGGGAACACAGATGGGAGGTTGGTGTGTGTAGACGAAGCACTGAGGGAGTGCTACCTTCAAAATCATGCTAGTTTTAAAAAAATACCAACCCTGCCTTTAACTGCACTATGACCACAGGATGGAAATTTCCATCTTAAATATTGTGGATCTGTTCTGCAAACAAAGCTACAAAATAGGTGAAATGATCATAAGCTCTAAACAACACCTTACATGATGGTTGGTGATTACATTATGGAAACAATGCCTTAACAAATTACATGTGGGAGAATAGAAAGCCATCCTTAGATGTGAGCAAAGCTGTAAAACCAACCAGTTTGGAACATGCACCAACACGACTGAATTGGTGAGGCATAGAAACCAACAACTCACTACAAGGTTTTGGAAAAAGATTCTGGTTGGGAAATAATTCACATATTTCTGTTCCAACTGGAAAAAAGGTTAGACAACATTTGAGTTGATTGCACCAAAGAAAAGTTATCATTCAGCAGCGAGAGTGTGGAGGGTTTTATAGCTTTTCTGCTGACCAACAGTATTCTCTCTGTCTTTAAGGACATTCCCATTTTTTTTCAAAGACTATGTGGAAAGGTTGTGGTGTAAATGGGTTCAGAGCTGTGCTGTTTAGCCTGATATTCATGGGGATTTGTGAAGAAAGACAAAGACAGGGCCCCAGTCATCCAATCATGTGTTTACACAGAAATTCACACCATTCTAACCCTAACCCTAACATCAATTTGACGTTGACAGCGGCATGCTTTGATTTGAGATTTTCTTCTGTTGTTTCATTTTAAGAGTCAATGCTTGTTTTTTTTTAAAAAAAATTTAATTTTGTTTCTGAGACATCAATCCCGTCTAATTCACCAATTATTAAAAAAAAACGCATTTTATATTTTGGCCTAATCATGTGTGGCATGACGTTTTGGTGGGTGATAATTGTTTCCACTTTTATCTTGAGGTACCATGCAGCTTTTAGTGAAAACATCTATATTTTTACAAAGAAAATACAAAAGGCAAAATAAATATTATCTTGCCCTGAACAGGGAAAGTTTGGTAGTTGTGTCCAAAACATGCTACCCCTCTAAATTATTAGTCCCTCTCCTTCCGAAACCCTCCTACCATCCAGCTCTGTGATGCAAACCTATATTTAAACTGCACCCGGTACTTATTTCGGTGCAAATGAGATATTTCTTTTGCCTCAATTCCTATTTTCCACTTTATTTTTTCTCTTAAGCCATCATTGGTACCAAAATCTTCCAGTCATTCTCTTCAGGGTGCCCTTCGATCATTCTTGGCATGCTTTTGAATTGATCCTTGACTCCAAGCTTCCCATCCTTAGACTAACCTGGTTGCTTGGTCAGCATTCGTGTTTGAGTTGTAAAACCATTCTTGCGGTTGCAGCGTCATCCAGTGTCGTCTAACTTACCCCCACACTGTCTTATTGTGTCAGGGTGGCTGTTGTCTGGAGAAGTTATCGAGTGATTCTTTTCTCTGTTGTAAATCTGTCGTGTTCTTTTCCCCCTTTCAACTGAATTCATAAGATGGCAACATACATAGGGTTCCTAAATACGCTGAACTGTTAAGTGTGCAAGCACATTGTTCTGGAGACCATGGATATTCTGACCCATACAATATGATATCGGTCCCAAATAATTCAATTAATTCCATCTGGTTAACCTGTTACACTTTCTAGGCTCTAGTGACACAACGAAAGGAAGATTTTCAACCTCAATGAATTACCAAAGAAATGTTAAAACATATTCATAGAATGCGGCAGCTTAGTCTCTTAGTTACAAAATTGAAACCAATGTGGTAGTGCCTTACCTGCATTCTTTCTCATGGCCAGCAGGGGGAACTTCCACTGGTTGCAAGTAGAAGTCTGATTGTACTAGAGTCTATGGGAAAATTAGCCTCCCTCTTACCAAATTATAATCTAACCTAACATTTCCCAATTAATTAAACTGGCATACAAGTTTCCTTTTTGGATTTTGGATCTTATTTGTCCTTACGAACAATTGTAGGATAGGAACTTTTGTATTGGTATACTGTATTGAAAATGAAAACTGTTAAATAGGTTGAAATAATTTTTCTGACCTCGACAACCACTGGTCTCCTTTCGTTGGTAGTGTAGATTGGTCAGGCATGTGCCATCTTATGGAATTTCTCTCTGATTATATTTTTCCTACATGGAAAAACCATGTGGGTTGCATTAGGCAAAGTATAGAATCATAAGTCAAAGTCGCAGTGGGTTTAAAGCTGGTATCTGTAACATTTTCAGGGAATAAAGTTTTATATTCTTTTAAGTTGGCAGTTATAATACAAACTGTTTTTATGTTTTCTTTTTCTCAATCCAACCCTGAGGATATTTCACACTTTCACACTGGTTAGATTTTGCTCGAATGATGCATTTGAGCCAGTGATTCTCAAAATAATACTCACACCTCCCTGGTTTTGGCCAATCACATTTAAAGGTGGGCCCAGGCCTTCTTTTCATTCACACCCCTGAACCCTGTGCCCCCTTTAATGTCACACACAGTTTCAGAAGCACTGATGTCTACCTTTAAAGGCTTTATATGTGATGATTTTTCACACTTAAATATAAAAGAAACCAAGTATATCCTCTGAAAATAACTCTGTGAGTCCTGACTGTCTACAATGGGTGTAACACCCGAGTCCCACTGTCTGTGATGCTTTCCAAGTTTTCCGAGTCATATCTTCAGTTTGTTTATATCGCCAGGACGGCCAGCTCATCCCCTCGCATATACAAGTTGTTTAATTGAGGGACTAGAGAAAAGAAGAATAACATACTGTACTCACTGCTTAACTGTGTTTCTAGATCACGCTCATTTCAGGTAAATTTACATGCAGTGTGAAGATACGAGCATAATAAAGACCGCTAGCATTAGCATGCTAACACAACAATGCACCGCGAGTTGTTTTGGTTTCATGCTGGTGCTCAAGGGCGACATCTGCTGGATCAAAAAATCGCATATAAAGCCTTTAAGTGCAGATCTTTCCATCATTTATAGAAGACAATGCTGCCACCTGTTTCTTCATATTTATACAGCCATAGCAATGTTAGCAAACTCTCTCTCTTGTCACCAAAATATTAGACTGTACAAACAATTAAGCCAATTTTCTGGTTTGAAAATATTACTGCAAGCAGGGTGCAGCTCCACAGCCTTTAATGCTGCTAGGCTACAAAAGTTGCACTGAATGCTTTGTGTTTGACTTTAGTTGAAGAACTTCTGCAACGAAAACATAAAATCAATGTAAAGGAATCCTGTCATTGCATAAGCAGCCGTTCTAGGAAAAACCTGAAAATAGTACCCTCAAAAAGTGAGTCAAGATGCACGAGATAAACCACGCAAGAAAAGGGTTTGGTTCCTCGTCCGCCATTTTTGTTTACAAAGTAAATATGAGAAGTCCCGCCCCTTCTTGATTTTGATTGGACAGTGATGGAGAAGTGACATTGACGAGCATGGCAATGGCCCAAAAGTTAAACTAGTTTTATCCATGACAGTTCTTTTTTTGCCCTAAGGAAAACACCAAACTGTATTTGCATAGAAAATGGACGCTGCCATTGCAACAAAAGCTGTTAGTGGACAGAGGTCCTTACAGTCCTATTTAGGGTCAAATACATGA